TTAATATTTTTTAACTGCTATTGTAAAATATATCAAACGCCTTGGATATTAAATTTTTAATCTCCATGAGAAACTAAGTAAATATCCAAGTTAATAAATATTTTATCTTAAGCGCTAATACATTTTTTTTTCTAAACTTAAGAAGAATCTCGTATCACATACATATATAAAAAAAATTGTGAATTTTTAACTCAATATAATTTTTATATTTACGTAATTTTACTAATTCTGTCAAAATTCTAYGTGCAGACTAATTTCAAGGTGCTTTTGAAAATTACTAGGAATTTTTTACATTTATTCTTCTTTAAGTCCGTTGTTTGAAAAACTACTGGGAATCTTCAATTTCGACCTCTTAATGCACTAAATARGTTCACTTTCCTACCAGAGAAGATACTACTGATATTGAAAATCCTCTCAGAATCTAAAATATAACAGGGTCTACTGAAATTCATGATGTACCTAATTGCAAATATGTGAATGCTTAATGACTAACGATGAGAGTGCATTATAATATGCATAATATGAGAAACGAGAGTGTCTGAAATTTTGCCTATCTAGTCACTATATCTTGCTAATATTTTTAACAAATTTTGCTAAACAATAATATGAGATATGTTTTTTTAAATAGTATGAACCATGGAAGAAAACAGTATCTCATATTTGAAGTGATATTGTTCTATAATATAAGACTATAACTAATATGAACATTATGGTATACTTAAAAATATAATTATATGTACAATAGAARGTATATTATTTTATGTACTGRTTGGTTTTTAAAAAATATACATTATAACACATTGGTATATTTGTTGATAACAATTAAATGTTTTTTATATTTTTTTCAATTTTTATACAATATCATACTCATTGGATAACAAGGATAATTGATATAATATTATGTAGATACATTATTTATGACGGTAATTTGACAGAGTTTTCTATCATATTCGTTTGAACATAATATATTTTACATAAATAAAACATACAATCATTTAAAAACATATTATATAAAACTATACTGACCATTAAATAATGTTCTTTGGATAACATTTAAATAATATTGTATAAATATTTAATGTTATGATAATAAAATAATAATGGAACTTTAATTAGTTCTAATTCATTGCCTGTTAGAWTTTGTACAYTTAGTTGGAACTTGGGCAAAGGTGTTATACTAAATATTTTCATATCCAACATAGCGTTCGGATTTCAAAATTTTTTTTGAAAAGCTATTGCAATTGAACATCGATGGTTTTTCAAAACCGTACACGGGTTTCGGATTGGACTCGAGTAGTGCGTCCAATAGTGTGTGTATGGCATACTCGGGTAGAGGTGTTTTCAAAAACATTTCATTGAGCGTTTGTTCGTTTGATTTGCCTGAATACCGTACTGGTTCGAACATGTGCTCCGGCAAAATATGATTTGTGTTTATAACGATTATGTGTACACCCAAATTCTTCAGGTCTTCTCTTAACGAGGTGCTAGCACCGACCACGGCATGGCGCGCGGAGTCAAAAGCAGTCATTCCATGTCGGTGAGGATGTCCATTGGATGTACCGAAGTTAATAAAACGACCTGAAAAAACGTAACAATTTAAAACATTTTGTTATTGTAATAATTAGTGAACATTATAAAATGTGAATTGACTATAAGAATCTACACTTGACACTTGAGTACAGACAATAATCATGTCGTACAGCTAAGTGATTTAATCAAAAATACTTAAGGTGTATTTAGAATTATGGAGACTCAAAGGTTTTAAGCGATTATATTTTCCATACATTTAAATCAACAAGCTGGTAATGAAATGTAGAAATTTATTTCATATAAAGCATAGAGAAAAATGTATGAATTTCAAATAATTTTTCAAGATTACAATAATTATTGGACTACTAGAAGTGTATTTATTTTTTACAGGGTTATTGGCAAATTCATTGACGTAGTTCAATCATATTTTCGAGTACCTACCTTTGATGCCTTATGCATGCACATAACTTTACTGTACTACATAGTAATCAAGTCCACCCACATATTGAACTACAGTTACTTACACTCACATTTACGTACAACATGGAAATCACGAGCAATGCAAACTATTTGAAATTGCCTACATTCTGCCCCTTAAACAACAAAGAGCCGCCTTAAAAACGAATAGGTATGTAGGAATTTTAGAAAGGAAGGTATTAAAAAACAAATTTGAATCTCTATATATAGCCCAAAAAATAGATCATAAAATAGAGAATGTGCCATAATATAGTATAAATATTGGTCTTAACAAAGTATTTATGGACAGCTAAAAATATTCTCTCGTTTGTACGGTATTAATATATCAATAACTGTTATGTATGAGGACCCGATGGAAAAATAATTTAACAAGTGGCAGTATGCATACATTTACAAGAAGAACCACTTGAGTTGTTCTCGGATGAAATAGAACGAATAACAGATAATTGGATATCTAAAAAAAGTTATTCTATAGGAAGATAGGCAATTAGAATATAGTGCAATAAAAGCCCACTAAGAAGTAAAAGAAGAAGAAAAAAATGATAGTGAGTATGAAATATGAACATGCCATATTTATTAAATTGTCGACCAATTAATATTAATAAGATAATTGTTTTTTGCTATTTTTTGTATGTTTTATTGCGTTAATTAATATAAATTGATAAACAATACATTTTTTAAGACTGCATGGTAAGTAATAATTAAACATATTAAATACAATGGGTATTAGTATTATTAAAAATAGAAATTCATTGTATTATCTGATTTTCACGACTGATTCTAGTTCTTATTTTTAATTTTAAAAGATTCGCTGAATTGTAAATATAAATTGAAATATTTTTTTGGTTTTATAATTTCTTATACTATAAACATAATACTTGTCATTTGCATGCTACTAGATATTTTTCTTCTGCAAGGAAAACTGAGGAACCACAGACATATTATTTTTGGTTATAGTACAGTGAACAAAATAGCTAGTAGCACTCTACTTGTTATTAGAAATTTAATACAATTTTTTTGTTCTTGTTTTTGTTGTAAATGTGCAATTCTATGGCAATTAACGAAGCGCTTCGAAAATTGATAGGAAAATAAAAATTTAACCACCTAGCCCCAAAACATATCTACGTTAAAATCATTATCATACAATTTTACATGAAATTATCATTATAGAATTATTGTGACCAATTATTAAAATATACGTGTATAATTTATAGATGCAGTAGTTTAAAAAAAAAATACGTTGCATACCATATATAAAATAATTCTTGTTTAAATTCTATTTGTTTACCTTTTTGGCTCACTAGTAAAGGATAAAATGTTCGGGCTGTCTTGAGTGTTCCAAAAACATTAGTCTTAAATAACGTCTCCCATTGAGCGCTCTCTTGCATTTCGATTCTTCCCTTCAGGCAAACGTCTGCGGTATTTACGACAGCCCATAAACCTAAAAATGAAATAAAAATCCTTCAACAAATTGTAAGAAAATAATATTTTAGTAATAATATATGGAATTAAGAAATCGTATGTTTGGTAGTTTGTTTGAAATTCTCGTGGATTGTAGTTTTATAGTGCCGTATACTTTTGCCCCTCAAAATACGGCTTTTGAGGAAGTAAAAAAGGCTAAAACTCCTCCTTAAAACGTATCCTACATATTATTATATCTCAGTATCATTACCACAATGATAATATTAAATTTTATGAATTTTACATTAAGCCATAACAGTGTAAGAATCTTATTGTTAACGTAATATTTTTAGTATAAACATAAACTTTTAGATTAAAATAAGCCACTAATGTCTAATTTAGATTAACTCAAACTCATTTAAGTTATAGTAGTATTATTAAGATAATATTAATATATTATGTTGTTTGGTTAGAACTTAGAATTCATTGTTTGTACGGAATGCGTATTTTTGTCACGAATTTTTTTATTATAAATAATTATCGATAGGTTTGAAATTATGTTTTCTTATCTAATTGATAATAAAATGTTTTTTAATTAAATTACAAATCACATTTATATTGATATTTATTGTTAATATTTATAGCTCATAACATATTTAATAGTATTTTTATAAGAAAATGTGCAGTATTAAAATATAAAAAGTATATTTAAATTAAAACTATAATAATAATAATAATAAGTAACCATTAAAAAGTATGGATTAAAAAAAATCATTGGTTGGTATTAATAAAAGTAAGAGACTTGAGAATTCAAGGATACTGGGAATGTAGTATCATAATAAGTTTGATTATTAATTTAACATTATTATTTTTTTTWWAAAAACAACAGTAATTTATTTATGAAGATGAATTCGTTTTATTAACGTGATGTACCTACTTATACGTATATACGGTATTCATACATCCATACTATATGATAATATGTAAATAGCAAATTATTATTATTTCAAAGATATCATACACGCCAGCCTCATTATAAAATAATCTGTCTTCAAAAGTAAGCTCAAGTTGGAGACAAGAGTTTTAAACTAAGTAAATCTATGTTTATAAAAAATAAAACAATTGAGACAAGTATAATAGGTATTAAATCAATATATTATATTAAGTAATATTAAATGTTGGGTGCACTATGGTTACATTGAAAAATGAAAAGTAATGACAACTAAATAATATTGACAATGATTTGTCAGGTAGGTTTTTTATTTAAAAAGCAATAATTTAAAATGTATAAATAATAACTATTAATAAGTGATGAATCAATATTATTAGTTATTACATTAATATACCTAGCATTTATATAATATGTTTACTTTACAAATTATTGAAACCGTACTAAACAATTTAAATTTATTTTTTATTTTTTTGATTGTGCGTAGAAAATTTCAATAACCGTATTTCATTTAATAACACAGATCTAACATAATACCTATATTTAATTATTTTTTTAATAATTTTGCGAACACAGCAATGATTAATAATTCATACGCGTCTTACAATATWAATGTTCCATAAATCATAATATTATTATTGTTGTACGAACATACAGACGTACAGTAGGTACGTATATAATGTGTTTTTCTCATATGACTTTTACTATTGTCCAGAATGTATATATTAATWTAAAGTATTATAACTATTATTATAATCCTTGTATAGTTGTAYAATAATATTATATTATGTTATTATATGTGTACCTAACTAAGGGTCGAGAGTGGAATGTTAATACCTGTCACAATCACGCGTATATTTGTAAGCAATCGGGCGCGATAGTCACCGTTAAAAATACGATAGTCGGCAAGGTTGCCGCGCTTAGAATGATAATAATAATAATTATTATTAATGTATAACTTGTTCACAAGGACTGCTCAGCGAGGTACGCCTAGTTTGCTTAAATCTATCTCGGGCATACGCATTCCTCCGCGTGACTGACATCATACATAGCTGTTTATATTTTATAGTATATATATAATATACWACAGGATTATATTATATGTATAATATATGTAAGTACAATAATAATGTATGTATTATAGACGTTTCCGAAGAGTAGGGTATGCTGGGTATGGCATCATTATAATAGGTATATTACTGTATACATAGAACATATTATAGACTGCACAGGCATCTGGCCAACAGAAAATAATATAATAATATCTGTATTACATGTAAGTATTTGTGTGTGTGTGTGTGTGTGTGTGTGTGTGTGGCTAGGGTGAAAAAGTAATTTGTTTGTAATGTTCACATAGGCAAGCAATTTATTATACTCCTCAACTTTTACAATGGCTTTGTTGTAGAAAAAGTAATTTTTTTTWAATTTTCTTACGTAAGCAATTTATTATACTATTATAACACCCGTATTATASTAGCCATCTTCAATATCATTCAATATCTACAATGGATTCATAATTTGTGTACCTACGCTGTACATACATATACATGATACACATAGGAAATAAACATCAGGTATATACAAATATACAATATGCAACGTGCACAAGCACAATGTACTTCATACGTCATATGTATATGAAGATTTGTTTGCAAGACTTATATTTATATATTATATATTATACTTCACATYACAAGCACAATGTTTTACAATGACTATCATCGCGATAAAGGTTTAGAAAATTAAGTTACAACTTCCTGTGCAGCTGTGTAGGGTTCGTTCAACGGTGGCAGTGCGTGGCGCAAATCACGCGGTCACTGCCGGTCAGAACCTATATCTATCTAGTCCTTTTATTCTCCATCTTCTTCAACCAATTACGATTTGACCGTAAAATTGTAAGAACCACACTATTGTAACTYTATCTATATAACGTTTGACAACAAACACGCAATAATTACTTTTTATTCAGACATTGTCAAGATGTGAAAACTTGAAATATTTGCAAAAGATGTGGACCATTCAATATTTTTATTATACACAATATATATATACATATATCCACTACACTATATAAAGCATACGCGAAATAATACACTGCAGATGAAAAAATACTCCTGGCAATATCATTGTTCGAAATMCTATTCTCATATCTTGTATATAATGTGTATAATATATTTCCGTGCACAGTTCCTATTCAATAAACACACAATATAATGTCATATTTATTATTACAATGTTATCAGAACGTAAGTAGAAAATATTGAAGCACTATCCATAAGAATATTTAGATCGTCTCATAGTATAATACGTCATAAATTACTGCTTATTAATTGTTGTATAATGTTCGTTATTCGATCAGGCATTAACATTTTTACCATAACAACCTATCGAAGTTTAATAAACAGGTACATATAAATAATTCTATAATATTATATATATATATATTATATTATTATTCCATTCGTTGACGTAGTATCTAACAATATAGGTACATATATGCATAATATAATATTATACTGTTTATAAATTACTGTATATTTAAAATGTATAGTTATATCTACCAYAGATGGATAGTTGGTATATAGATTTCAAATATCCAACAAAATTAAAATAATTTGAACGTTTATTAAATTCTAGTTTCTYGAATTACTACGTGTAAATTATAATTTGCCCAAGGTAAACTTTGAGTTAATAACGTAAGATACTTTTATAATCTGTAATAGTAGGTTCATATTAGCCGTGTTCATGAAATAATTTATTGTTCTGAGAGATTGTTTACTAATTTAGAATTGCGTTTTTCAATAATCAATGTTTTATAGTATAATATTTAGGTGAATACTGATTGGTGCAGATAGGTCTCAATATTTTACAATTCCGTTAATAAGCGTTATATAGACTTATAACTTATAAGCATAGTATTTATTTTTAAGATAAAAACTGTTCAGCTCAATGCTACATTTTTTATTACGGCGTTATAKTATTGCATTTTAAAAGGAAACTAAAAATATAATTATATGGTTGGTTAACTTTTTTGTATAATAAAAATGTATCAAATTGGTTCTGACGGTTTAAGATTGTTTATTTGTTAGGTGTATTTTACAGTAGGTACATTTCGTTGATTCGAAAGTAATTATCTATTACACCTAACGTTATTTTTTTTAAGGAGTGTTGAATAGACAATATATAATATATATAAGCCATGTTAGGGTGTGTCTTGTCTTATATTGTATGAGTAATAATATTGTTATTGTTTGTTTAATCACATTTGTGCGTTAAAAGATCAACAAATCTTGAAATTGGAACAATGGTCCTTCAAAACGTATATTATCTAGGAAGATTGGTGCATAGAATTTACAAAATATTACATGCAACTAAAAATGTGCAGATTAACTGCAAATAATCAAATTTAAAAATCTTTTACCTAGGTAGTCAGTGTTCTCTATACATATAATAATATAAATATAATAGTAATGGAGGTATAGCTATTTATTKTCTCACTATTGCATACGTGTTAAAAATACCGTATTTTGAATAATAATAAATACAATGACTAGTTAATCCAAATTAATGTAAAAAATATTGCATAGGAATGCATCCATATTATAGTGTATCTTTATGGAAACAGACGAGTAAACATGTGTAATAGTATCCATATATACGTATATAGTAAATAGATAGAAATAAGATTATGGTCTTGTAAAAAAACTAATCGATTTTCGGATTAAAATATAAAAAAAAAGAAAAACAGTTACGATCAATTATAGAGACCACTATATAAGAAGTAATCGCACAAGTCCAAATGATTATTATGTGCCTATGCCCAACCTATACCGATTGATTTGATACACTTTGCTTGGCCGGTCAACCGAATTCGATTAATCAGCCAATACTTATAATAGTTATTATACTTATTAGTACTCTCAAACAACCGCGACAGCGCATTCATTTAAAGACTATAGGTACACAAACGGAATGTTTATGCACGAGATTCAGAGATTGTGACTAAAAAAAAAATACGCGTCATTACCGTGTTATTTTGTTTATTGTTGTATAATTGTTAAATTCATCGGCCGTAAACAATTTACTGTCTT